GATTTGGCTCACATTACAGAAATACTTGGGAGCGGGACTTTCCCATCTTCCAAGGAAAATTTGTGTTCTCAAATGTTAGCTAACCAGTTTTTCTCAAAGGGATTTGTCAAACAACAAAATTCAGCGTCTTCCGGAAGATGTTTTTGGCAACCTTACTCGGTTGAAAAGGCTGTAAGTGGCATTTTGTACGCCTTTAAAGCGAGTGAAACCGTACATTTCTTTTAAGAGATTTTAGTAAATTCTTGCATTGCGGCCATTGCAAATAGAATGCTATTACAATAAAAATATCACCGTAAACTACTGCATGCGCTTCACTAGCCTCAGTATATAACAGAGTGGAGAGAGGTTGAAACCTCTCCGCCCCGGTATATAATGCTAACCTTAGTGGATGTGGTCACCAATAGCAGTGAAAAGAAAATATAGATGAAAAAAGTGAGATTGACTGTCTCGTTTAACGCTTTTCTCCACTTGACTTGAGACTTAATTTTTTTTTTTTTCGCCAAGCGATCAGGGAAGGTTTAAATTATTACAGCCCAACTGCTACAAGATTAATTTGCGATATGAGCAACAGTTCGAATTCATAGTTTCGATGCACCAACACTGAGAAGTGAATTCCTTTCATGATATGTAAACGACCATTTAAACAGCAGAATTACACATGGCACTTTTTTTTCACATTCTCAAGTCTGGGATAAAAAGGTTTCGCTACTCAGCTAAAATAAAAATAAACAGTTAAGTTTTAATGTCAATTTACGAGGTCCCTTTTGGGATAAAAAACTCCCCGAGAGTCTCAAATACCAACGCAGTTAACTTGCTTTTCAGCTTTTTTCCTTTTGATTTTTCTGTTTCAGCTTTCTCTCCAATAACAAACTTCAGCGTTTGCCAAAGTTAAAAAATCTCTCCGAGATAGAAACATTGTAAGTGATTTGTGTTTGTAACAAAAACTGGTTCAGTGCGTGACTTGTTTAATGGGCAGAAATGAAAAGAGAGCTTTGGGTAAAAACAGAGAATCAGTGTACCGACCCATTATTTCTCTGACATTCGCAGACTTAATTAAAAGCTGGTTTAAGGATTTTAAACGAAAAATATACAGTAACTTTTAAAATAGATGCACAAAATAAGAATCATTAATTATTATATTTGTTAAGATAACGCACATGTGGAGAATATCGCATGGCCGCGCGAAGATGCCAACTTTCTCTTCGAGTTTTGAGAGATACTTTTCAACACGAGACGATGAATTTCGTATCTCTAAGCGGCCACGTGATATTTATTATATGAACACCAATAAAAGCCTAGTAGTTTCCCTTTAGCTGCAAAAAGGTGAACTTTATTACGGAACTTTAGTAACAGCGGTATTCTTACTTGTGAAGATAACGTGTTACTTTCACTATACGCGAAAGCTTGCCAGGTATTTCATTCGTGTTTATATACCAAAATATAATACCACAGACTACAGAAAAATCAAAACAATCAGAACAATCAGTGCAAGCGCGATGTGATCAAAATGTCCTCGTCCCGGTGAAAGCGGTCTTAAGCAGTCTGACGATGATGCTTTTTAATCAAGTTTTGGACAACTTTGACAAGCAGTAAACAGTTTGCGGAAGAACAAGGAACAAATAATTTAAGGAACGTTTATATGAGGCGAATAAACGATATAAATAATCATAGCTGATCCTGACGATAAACATTTCTGAGCCCAAACAATTATTTAAATTTATATTTTCTGTTAAATAGTGATAGAGAGCGTCTCGTGCATTTCATTTATCGCGTAGATACATGGAGAAAAACAGCCTCGTAACTCTGTCACGGGATCAGTTCCAAGGCCTGTCTAAATTGAGAGACCTGTAAGTAAACCCAGCAATTTTATATGAACAGAATGGCCAACGGAAATTATGTCTCTGCACTAGTAAAAATTCATGACCTTACGCGAGATATCTGATCATCTGAAATCAATGTTCATTAG